AAATTAGAACAAAGATGCAAATAAACAGTAGAACAAATATAACATAAGAAAGAAACAATTTAATTAGTGCATTACTTTTTTCATCTTACATCTAAACAGAAGCATTCAAGTAAGAAAAACAAATAGGATAATCAAATGTAAAAATCATTTTAGTGTAGTCATTACAAATAAATTGATTAAATTGAAAAAATTAAAACTACAAAAGCAGTTCAATCAAGAGAAGCGAGTGATTCCCTTTTTTCTTTTATTGTAAGATTAACATTAATGAGACAGACGACCTATATAGCCAATTAACGCTCTCTGTGATTGATTGGTTCTGTCCTGCAGCATTTCTGTGTGTTCAGATGAGCAGGAAAATAGTTCTATCCTACACAATTATTCGCTAACATAGGTTATTCGTCCAATTCAGTGCATATTGTATGCATTACATTTCTTGTTAAATTAACAAAATCACAGGTAAAAAAAAAAAAAACACCTTACTATCAATATTTTTTATTTTAGTATACTTTCGATATTTACATCAGTATCGATATATCGATACTTCAGTATCAAGACGCTCATCCCTAGCCTGGAGTTGGTTCACCCTCCGCACACGCCAAATCTCGACCAGGGGTACATTTCCCAAAAGCAACTGGTTGTAAGTTCCGTGATTTCACCAAGTACAACATGTTCCTGGATCAACATCCTTGTTGATCCTGGAACAACATTCCAATGAACCAATCAGAATTGAGAGATAGCTTTTCAGGCAATATCTGTTTTAGGCTTACAATCAGGGTTAGGTGCTTCTACATCCTTGTTAATCAGATATCATTTCACATTGTTTTTAGGAATAAATTATGGGTAGGGTTAGGTTTAGGGGTAGGGATTGGGTTTAGTCTATATTTTTGGACAGTTATGTTGATCCAGGATCAACAAAAGATGTTGATCCAGGAACATGTCTTACTTGGCAAAATCATGGCGACCGTCGCCCATGCCTAAATCCGCCACGGTAGAAATGTAATGTATGTACATAGTTGCCTATGGGAAGAGCAAGGACTTGGCACAAAACCTTTTGCTTCAGAAATGTAAACAGCATTTCCTTTTTTTCAGAGAGAGAGGGGACATTAAATTATCAGTTAGCAAAAACATAAAACAATTTATCATCTTTAACACAGCTAATTTTCACTGTTTATGATTTGGATTTATTGTCTCACATTTTGTTCCACACAGTCTATACCAGGATGCATCCCATCTGTGAGATGTCAGATCCCACATTTCTGCTAAGCATGAAATGTCCTTATTTGGGGAATATATGAAAGAACAGTTGCAGATGCATTTGAGCACTGAGAAGTTGAAAGGTCACAGAGATGTCTGTGTTCTAGAGAGCAATAACCCCTCTGACTTTGACTGTCAGTTCATGCCGAGGTCCAGGTTGAGAATAAGGACACCACACATTCGCTTTTGACCCTCCCTCTCTTGAGATCACAATTCCCTTCCCCATCTTCCTTTTTTAAAAACACCATCCCACTACCTTCATTTCTCTCACCCAACCCCACATCCACCACCTCATTAGTCTCGTCTTCGTTTCCATTCTTTCTTCATTCTTGTGGTTCCATCCTCAGATGAGACATAGCGTTCGTTTCCCCACAGACTCCAGTCATCATAACTGTTTCCCATCAGCTGCAGTTTTCCATCAAACCAGAAGGCCAGGAGGCCAAATGCTCATCTCAAACCAAAATCACTTTTTCCTGTCCACACAAAACGCCACCGCTGTGGAAGAGAGATGGGTTGTGGAACAGAAAATGACCCCCTGTTCATGGGTGAGAAATCCACACAGCATTTTATGACTTCACAATACTTTCCACTGTTCAGACTCTCTCTCTTTTTGTCACCTTTTGTGTACAAATCCGCTTTATTGACCTCAGTGTAATTCTGAACTGTCTTGAAAAGGAACCACAAAACTGGGTCTTGGGTTAATAATGGTATAATAATTCGGTCCTACGTTAAGTTAAATGCTTGCTTATTACTATCAGAGCATGGTAACCCTGCTGTTTAAAATATTATGCATGGATGCATTTCCATAATTTATCCAGCAACCTGAATAAAGTCATGAACTTTATTCATGACTTAAAGTGATAATGAATAATGAAATAATGAAAATGACGTTCATTATTGTTGTGCAAGTCAACAGCAATGAACAGTCATTATTTTGATCAGTTTGTTCACCTTGTTTTCCAGTAAATTAATTTCCTGTAGTTTAATTAAAAGTTGTATACAATCTTATATAGAGATATATTTTTAAAAATATATTCAGAGAACGCAAACAGAAATTGAACTGAATTTGAATGTACAGGGCCGTCCTTAGGGGTTTTCAACTGGTGCGGCCGCACCGGGCCCCGCAGCGAACAGGAATTTTTACTTACATTTATTGTGGAAACAGTGATAATTTTTTTCAGGATTCTTCATTGAATAGAAAGCACAAAAGAACAGCATTTATTTTAATTAGAAATCCTTTGTGACATTATAAATGTCTGTAATGTCAATGTTTTGATCAAATTAATGCATCCTTGCCAAATAACATTTATTCATTTCTCAGAAAAAAAACTCTTACTGACCCCAAACCTAATCCTAAATCTCACTACATTTCAACAGATGTATGTTTAAAACAAGAAAGAAAGAAAGAAAGAAAGAAAGAAAGAAAGAAAGGAAACATTGCTAATGTGGTAAAAAAAAACTAAAAGTTCAATATATGTTCTCTGAAAACAATTTGTAATGTCTTATGCAATTTTAAAAGTGGGAGAATATTATTAAAAAACAAGGCAAAAATACTGATTAAGTATATTTTTTGTAATGAAGCTGGATTACTGCAAACACCACTATTTCCAAACACAACAAAACTCAGATGATGCTCCAGCTCAAATTCAAATCCATTCAGTGCATGGTTCTGATTTAGATAAATGCATGTTTTGATCAACTAGTGAAGAGTTGTTTATTTTTCTATCATCACAAATTGCTGTTGGGAAAATAGTTTGCTATTTCCTTTTAATCTAAACATGAAACAAACTTGGACATGTACTGTGTGAGATATTCAAGATCTGTTCAATCAAAGCTTCTTTGATCATAATTTTCCCACAGGAAAAAAACAAATAAATCTCATGGCTTCTGTTTAGATTTTTCTTTTTTTCGTCTTGTTGTCCTCTGCTGTTTGCTTAAATAAACTTTGCCTTTTGTATTGTTTTTCTTTAATCTTTTTAGCATTAAAATACATTTTACTACAGTCTCGTAGCTCATTTAGATTACAGCTTTAGTGTTTGTTTAGAAAGTGTCATATTTGTGTTGTAATATTTCCCAGACTTCTGTGGTGGATTTTTATATGAAAGTCTTGTTAAAATTTTTTTTTTTTTAATATATAAAATATAAATAAAATAAATAAAAATAAAATACAAATAAATTCCAAATATCTAAGCTCTAGGTCTGAAATCATGTGAGTTGCATCGTCAGTCTGACTTCACATGATGTCACTCATACTCAGAGTCAGAGAATTAATCTCTCAGCATAAGTCAGAATATGTGTAATGGAAACCAAATGACTCAGCAGCTTTTAGCCAGTGTCCATATTCATTTGGCATTGTGAAAAATTAAGTTATACTGCTGATGTGTGAGAAAGTGCATTGCCTGTTGTGAGCACAATTTTAGTTGAGCTTGGTCTCATCTTTCAAATCCAAAGAGCACAATTTATCCTACAGTAAAAATCGTTATGAATAATGAAATATAAAAGTTAAATTTAATATTAAATGTATTTATTTAAATACAGGTCAATATAATGTCTACGGTTCAAACTGAGGAAAAACACTTCACAAAATGCCACTTCAAGAGTTCACTGATATTTGTAAAAAAAAAAAAAAAACAAGTCTCACATCTATATTTATGGAATTTCAAGAGCTTGTGTCACCCAGGGCAAATCAATCAAAACTGCACACACAGGTGCTGCTTTGCACCTGCTTGTCCCCTTGGTGATTAATAAAACATGTCTTTTTAGTCATATCCAGTAACACAGTCACACTTAAACACATACTAGCCCCGAGGTATTGTGAGTCAATGTCACTCCTGTTGAGCAACTCATGACAGTTAACAGCAATGTCCTGAGAGACTCTCATAATTCCAGTCAAACAAAACAGAGGAGTGTTAAAACCGGGGGAAAAAACCTGCAATAGCACAACAGTCATTGTGGAACAATGGAGGAAGTGCTGGTCTCAAGTGAACCGATGAAGACCGCCAGGCCTGAGACTGATAAGTGTCTCAGTGGTCCATCTAGTGGGCAAAAGTGTAGGCAAGCGTAGCATGAACCTTAGGCCAATGTTCTGCTGTTCTGTTCATCTATTCTACATCAACTTATACTACTGTTCAAAAGTTTGGGGTTAGTAAGTATATATATATCATAGAAATATACTTACTTTTATTAAGCATGGATGCATTAAATTGATCATAACTGAGAGTAAAGACATTTTCAAATGTTCCTATTAAATAAACCTGAAAAAATGTATCACGGTTTTTACAAAAATATTAGGCAGCACAACTGTTTACAAAAATTGACAATAAGAAATGTTTCTTGAGCACCAAATCAGCATGTGACACTGAAGACTCTACTGAAACTGCAGATTTGCCATCCCAGAAATAAATTACATTTTAAAATATACTTTATTATAGAGGAAAACACTTATTTTAAATTGTAAATTTTAAATTTTTATATATTGATGAAATAAATGCAGCCGTGAGAGAAAAAACAAACAAACAAACGTTTGAATGGTAGTGTACACATTTAACTAACACTTTTTTTTATGCTTTGTGTCATTTTCTGAGCTTGGCAGTCCCTAGTCACCCTTCACTTTCATTGTTATAGAACAGAAAAGAATAGATTGATCTACAAAAACAAAGGAAATCACACAATTTTGGAACAATATGAGGGTGATGAATGATGACATTTTTGGGTGAACTATCCCTTTAATGAATCCTTTTAGTTAAATATAGACAAAAATCACTGTCCAATCGCTCCTGCTGTCAGCCTTAACTTCCGGTGTCAACATCAAATCAGAATTTTGATGCCTTTGTGAGAGGAATTCTCTCCATGTTTCTCTTCAATGCTTTGTTCAGCGTGTTTAAAATGACATCTGTGTTGTTCAGAATGTTGTAGGTGGTGAGGTTGGTCAGCTTCTGGAAATCCTCAGGTTGGTATGTAAGGTTGAGAGTGGAGAATGGACTTAACAAACTGGTGAAGTCAATATCAAAATCTCCATCCTTCATCTCTGCCTTACCCTCTCTCTTTACTCCTGCCACACAAACATACATACACACACACACACACACACACACACACACACAATTGCTTTTAGTTGATATAAGGTTGACAAAACAATTTAATTGATAAAGTTGTACTCAAACTTGACTCCTCCTTTTTTGGACATTTTTTCATCCACATCATATGTAATGTGAAACATAAAAGATAAGAAACAACATAAAATTAAGATAAAGATATTAATAAGCGTCTCCTGCTCAAACTTGATTCGGACTCAGGTGGTCTCGAGGTCGAGGTGGACTCAGACCCAACAATTATTGTCCTTATAAAAAACCTTCAAAATAGTAGTATCTTTATGCAAAAGCTGAATCTCAATCTAAACCTCTTTCAGGAATATTTCACCCAAAAATTTATATCCTTTGCCATCATTTATACACACCCTCATGTTGTTCAAAACTTGTATGACTTTCTCAATGATGTTTTGGATCACACTCACAATCACTGCATGGACAAAACAGGTTAAACTTTCTTCAAAATTATGGTCATACTAAAGGTTACAGATGGCGGTACTCACCAGGAGACTTGAACTGCTTGAATGAGACATTGACCAAGGGAAAGTGGATCACTATGGGAACATCTGGATTCTCTTTATCCTCAAACACATAAACTTCCCTAATCGGCTCGGACTCCAACTTCTTATAATCGATCTTTGGAAACGGAATCTTGCGTTCAGCGCAGTACTCCTGAGTTTGCTTAATAACCTATTGGACACAAACAGAAACAACAGAATCACATTTAATCCTATTCTCCTCGTAATCTGACATTATCTTTGTGGTCTTCCTCACCTTGAAGTGGTCCGGGTCCCAAGCGTAGTTCAGGGACAGAATGACGTCCGCGCGTCTGTTACAGCGTAACACAGGAGGGAATCCTGACTTGATGACAAAAGCAGAGTCAACCAGGCCAAGTGTGGCGTCTGCTGGTGTCAGGGAGTTTGGGAAGGCATCTGGATGAGTGTCTGCAGAAAGTCCACTTTATAATTAATCCTTTCCTAGGTTGATAAAACTGAATCAATGGTACTAATTAGGCTAAACTTGACAGCATAAATGATGTTCTGACCTTTCCATGTGGTGAAGTCACAGTTCTCACTGTAGTTCCTGTGCAGGTGGAAGCCTCTAAGGAAGTTGAACACTTGGCTGATAATGGGGCGGCAGGTCAGAAAGATGCTCAGCTTTTTTGCCAAGTCAGTCTTAGGGCTGACCTGAAGTGTGTCTGACGTTGATGATTTGTCATCTGTGTCTATAGATAAGGGAGGATGATATACTGACCCAGTGACAAGCCACTGTACCCCCAAAAGGTAAACTTTTTGCACATTTTTTCTTAGAGTGTGGGTCTGAACAAAGAACTAGGTTCTTTATGCTCATTAATACAGCTAAAAGGCAACCAAACTTTTGAGAAGCTTCACAGGGAATCCTCTTACCTGTCTGGTTCACTTCTTCCCCAATCTTGCTGGCCCAGGATGGGATCACTCCAGTGACAACACTCCAAAGCTGAGTCAGACTCAGGGAGAAAACACTGCTCCATATTCCTGCAAACACAACACATTTTGACTAACATTTTGAATACAACCAATCACTATTTCTAACTTAAAATTGTTTACCATTAATTAGCCTTTGGAGTGTTTAAATATATTTACCCAATAGAGAGTAAATTCCAGATTCTGGGAGTTTCTTGACCATGTGGCCGAGGTAATATTCACTCCCAAAGTTCTGTGCAGGTATGAAGACACCATACTTGGTAAATCCCACCTCATATGGGGTGAACTCACACCATTCTGAATGAGAAAGGAACAAAGAGAAATATGGACAACATATCTACAGTAAGCACTTTTAGTTGCTCTCAATACAGAGAATTGATCTGTTGAGGAACAAACATAATTAACTTATTAACCGTAATGGACCCTAATCTTGTAAGACAGGAAGTAGCAGGCAAACTAAACCAGCCTAAGTAAATTCAAATCAATTCTTACCAGTCTCTATGGTACATCCTGTCTTACTATTTTTCATGTTGAGAGCTGTGTAGATGGGAAGAGGGTTCTGGCCCTTTGATAGTGCCATCTGCTGGTCAGATAGTGTTCCCATTTGTTTCTGAGTAAGAAAAGAATTTATGAATTTCTTCTAAACTTCTAATGGTAGCCATTTATTTGCATTTTATGCTAAAAATGTATTTTGTTTCTGTGATATCAAGGGTATTCAGTACCTTCCCTTGGATGAGGTATTCTATAGCCAGACCCCACATGTCAATAAGAGACACAAGTAGTCCTTCTTCCTCTCTCTCTTCCATCTTCTCTTTGTAGTGCCGTAGCTGCTCAGGGGAAAATATACTGAACACACTTTTAGAGATCTCCTTCTTTACAGACTCCATAACCCCATTTAGGTCATTGTTTGACCAGTTAGCATCACCATAAAGAGAAGCCATAGTCCTATGTGACAATGAAAGAAAGTTTGATGTTTAATGACATATCTGATGTAAAATCTGGGTTTTGAAGCAAAGCCTGATGAAGCACTGATTTGGAAATGGACAGGTCTGTAGTGCTCCTTATACTCACCAGGTGGAGCCAGAAACCCCTGTGATGTAGCTGACTGTATCAAGAAGCTGGAGTTTCTGCAGAGCTCTTAGGCCTCCAAATGTGCCACACATCGCTCTGGTCCCACCGCCAGAACACACCACAGCCACCAATGGGACCTGAGAAGTCACATCAATCTTATAAGTATATATATTTTTCATCAATTAATCAAACAAGCATTATCTGTTGGAACAAAACATGCCATATCCACCTTATTTTTTATCATAAGAGCTGCCGCTGCCAATTTATTAGTTGAAATGGCAAAGCTTCCAGTGTTATCTGCTTCCTGTGTTATCAGTTACATTTATTTTGTAATTAAATTACGTAACGCCGTTACATGTAACTAGTTACTCCCCAACACTGGTTATCTGTTATTATTAACTGTACAAAACAGTCTGTTATGCTGGTTAATATTGCAAAATGGTATTTCTCATCATTATTTTAAATTCAAATGAAAATTATTATATATATTAAAATTGATGTGAACAATAGTAAAACTGCATGTCAGGTGACACTGCCAGGAAGTGTCTGTTGAATGTGCAAATACTCAAGTTTGTGTTTTGATATACCTGCTTGATAAATTGATTTGGTAATAAATCACCAGTTTAATCAATGACACACTTTTGGTGGGATGAGACTAAACTCAGTCTCCAGGTCTCGGTTTATGTAGTAGCGAATAGTCTGTGAGCAGCTGGGGTTTTCCTCCGAGCCTGGGATCAAACAGTCTTCCTTATATGCGCCTTGCAGTTTTAACATCATGTCCTTCTCAGCTGAGGTAAACACTGAGAAACATATCACTTTATTTCTCTGTTCTTAATGCAACACCTTTAAAAATGAACAAGGTCCTATTTATATAAAATTAAAAACGTATTTTTATTGCATTGTAGAATATTTACTGTTAAAGCAAGGGTAGGCAGTATTTTCCAGAAACGTCTTTTTTGTCATAAGTCTCTTCACATCCTGATAGCAATCAATAATTAAAGTGGTGTTCTTCTGTGGAAAGCTCAGGACCCTAAATGATTCGTCCAATCATTGTATTCGGTCCGAGTTCGGGGCGTGGCTACTGTAACAGCTGGAACCAGAGGGCGTTTAACCGGTGTGGAAAAATAAATGATTCCTTTACAGCAGGGGTGCCCAAACTCGGTCCTGGAGGGCCGGTGTCCTGCAGAGTTTAGCTCCA